AAATTCACAGTCACGAGTCCCTGGGGTCACAGGGCACTCGTATGTCTAACAACACACAGATTCTCTGCTGCTAATGCAGATCAGAGGCTTGAAAATCTACCTTAAAAATCCCCATAAAAATCACATCTCTTGAATGGGGACTTCAATTTAAACTAACTACAAATCTCGGTCCAGGTCTCCAGTGCAGAATGTACAACATTTATACCGAGTGAAAACTGTTGTGGCGTTGGGCTTACAGATGGGTGAATGGAGTTGTTTTTCTTCTCCAGCTCCAGGGGTAACAGTCACAAGCAGTCATCACAGCAATAAAAGCTTGAGTGCTCATGAGATATCCTTGGGGAGCTGTTGGAGCAGAAGCCCAGAATGCGTGAGGTGCAGGTTTTTGTAGCCTCAACTAAACTCCTGGCATTTCACAGCCTTCCTCCAGGGGTAAAGTAAGGCAGGGGTTTGAGACTGCCTGTAAATTATCAGCTTATGCTGAAGCTCTGAGGCATGTTAGCTCCTGCAGAGATGTGATGGAGTTTGTGTATGTGTGTGTGTGTACACTCTGGATGTGTTTTTAAGCCTGATTATGATAGCGTAGGCAACAGAACAATTCAAGGCAACAACTGACAGGAAAAATAAACAACTTACATCTTTATCCATGAACCACTGAGCATGCAGCAGAACTGCGTGTATCACCCGTTATATGAGGCACAGTCTATACTCTGCTAATCCTCAGAATATTATAATGTATAATTGATTTTGCATGCAAACATAAAACAATCTGTCATCAAGATATGTAAATACTCTCTCAGCAATGTAATCAATTGTATATTTAAGACAGGTTAAACTTTAGAGGTGGGAATCACCATACATCCCACGATACGATATTATCACAATACTTAACGCACAATACGATATTATTGCAATTTAAAAAAAAATATTTTGCAATATTCAGATTCTGTACATAAAGTTAAACTTTATCAATATTCATTTTATCTAATATCAGAGTCTCGCACTCAGTCTTTCTCTCATTTCAATCAGTTTTATTGTTGACAAACTGAACGGTTTGTATTACAGTCTAGTCCAACTTAACTGAATGCAACCATCTGGTACAATTATAGCTATTCTGAACTATGCAACTTATGAAAACTATGCAGCCCATTCAGCAACTGAAGAATTTGAAAGTAAATTAAAACAAAATATAATTTTACATTAAATAAAAAAAAAGTTTTAAAATTAAAATAAAACATGTCTTAAATTAAAATAAGTAAACTGTCATGTTTATTGCTGCCAAAAAACAAGTTAAACACATTTGGACAGTGAAGGAATGTCAGGATTCTTCCTCAGAAAAAAGGATCAACATGCTCTGAGCACAAAAACCTTTTTTGTAACAAAATATCGATTTCTGCTGTCCCTGTATCGATACATCATTAGCAAACAAAATATCACGATACTACACAGTATCGATTTTTTCCCCCACCCCTATTAAACTTATACAAGGTCAAAGCACTCATCATGCTACCACAAACGTAAAGGGGCATGAGACAATCCAAATGACTGACTTAGTCGGATCAGACATTAAACAGCCTTTAACATGCCAACTCCCTAGTGCAAAGTCTTTGTTATGTCAGACTGCATCCACGTGAGAATACCCGGGTAGCTTCCATGGTGACCCCAGACGGTTGGTGAAATCCTCAAGCTCAGACTCATCTTCACATACAGTCTACAGCTTGATTTAAAGAGAGTATTTTTTTTTTCGTTACCAAGAATGACAATATTTAACCTCCTAGGACCTGGCGTCCACATATGTGGACATCACATTTTGGGTTATTTAGACCAAAATACTCAATTTTGCTCTACAAGGGCCTGATATCCACTTACAAGGACATTATACTGCTACTGTTCTATCAAAATTTTAAACGAATATCCTCATATGTGGCTCTTATTTTTATTAAAAACAAAAATAAGGTAAAAAATAAAAATAAAAAAAAATCTGGTAATTCTTTGTTTTTACATTCATCTGGCCCCAATATGTCCAAATATCAAAGAGAAATTTAAAATGCATGCTGTGGAAGAGTTCGGCTCTTAGGAGGTTAAGGAAGTAGAAGTATGAAGTCACTTGAGTACAACACTTCATTTCACCTAAACCTATATCAATATCTGTCCAGAAAAGGTATGCCTATCACTGTTGCTTCAAATACTCAGTAATAGTAGATCGCAGCTATCGGTTCTAAACAGACATGAGAAACCTTGAAACCCTCATCACGCAAAATTATTCAGTTTTGTTTGGAGGCAACGGAAAAGTGAGTGCACTGCTTTGAAGTTAATGCGCCTGTGTGTTTAATCTCTGCTTGGCGGATTAAGCAGGTCATTACTAAAAAGCTTATAACTGAGGTCTGCTGAGAGTTTTAGCCAACTCTTAATCAAATGGAGGGGAGACGAGAAAAATACAGGGTCATGCCTGGTGCTACAATACCATAGAAACAAATGCAGGTTTACTAAACACAGAGAAGCAAAGGGATCTAAAATAAGGGAATGAAGTCTAACCTATCGTGTACAGTTGTAGCAGATTATTGGGGTCAAGTAATTTCAACTCAAAGTAAAAAATAATTCATCGCCAGCATTTAAAAAAAAAATAAATCATTTATTTCTGTAATTTTATCCTGTTATTTAATGGTCTTCTTCTTCGAGGAACAAATAACTTGACAGCAGTGATGGGCAGAAATGGCATTGTATGTCTTATATTAAGAAGAGATGCACTGATTGAAGTGTGACCTGCTGATCGCCAACTGTCACTTTCTTTTCTCAGAACTATAATTACCAGCACAAAAAAACAAAAAAATCTATTTCTGTTTTACTTTTTCTCTTCTGTTCTGTTACTGATTTATAACTACTACTTTTCTTCAATGCAACATTTTATTTTCATAACAATATTATTAATAATAACAAAACAATAAATTAAACTTTAAATATTCCCTAAAACTGCTGTAATTAACAGGATTGGCTCTTGTTGAAACAAATATAAAGCGCTCTGCTCCTGGAAAAAGGCACAAATATCATAGAATTGGGTGGTATAAACGGTATAGAGTAGAAATGATATGAATTTGGCCAACGGTAGAGATTTTTACTATACCGCTGCTATCAAGCTGTGCATGGTCAAAATCATCGCAGTGGCTGCAAGCATGGAGCTTACACGTGGGGAGGAGGAGGAGGTGCCCATGAAGAAGAACGTCGGTCACATGCACCTGGGTTTGGGTTTAAGCAGTTTGATGTTAAGCAGAAAAATATCATCTGCAAATTATGCCGGGTGACAGTAATAGTGAAGAGACGAAGCACGTTCTGGAATATGAGAAAAGCCAAAAACTGCGCCCTCCTCAAACGCCCAGTCAGTCAAGTGGAAAGAAAAAAAGGTGGCCCTACACACTAGCAGACTGATCTTTTCCAAAGGCACATTTTATTTTAAACAACTTAGAATTTAGTGTTTTACTGATATTCTACATGTATTTTTTATTCAAAGATTTTTGCGCATTTATCTTCATTTTTATTTGTTATTTAAGAATTTTGTGTTACATTGTTTGGAAAAAGATCTATTACATCTTAAAAATTATTTTAAAAGTTTTGTAATTAAAAAAACAAACAAACAAAACGTTTGCACAATAAATGTTCTTAAAATGGCATTCTATACTCTATCTATATACAGAAGAAAAGAATATATCGCAATATAGATCATTACAGCACATGCTTCAAATTATACCGCCCAGCCCTAAAATATCATATAACATAATTTAGCTTACCAAGCAAAAGCAGGTGCAAGAAATGTATGTAATTACACAAATGTGTGTTACTCACATAACCTTCCAGCATGTTTATAACTGTAACACCAGATAACAAGACACTGACCCTTTGCCTTTTTTTACTCATCTCCATTATTTCCCTTGCAACCACTTTGATTCCTTGCTCATACCGAGGCTGCTGGCTAGCTTTAGCGTTGCCCACTTTGCCTTTTTTAGTTGGCTTTAGCTGGGTGAGGGTGATTTAACTGTCTGGACAGATTTGTTGTTGTGAACTGTTTTGTGGTGTTCACGTGCCGTTTACTTTGTCGAACTTTGTGCCTTCACTCATAGCATACTTCCATGCTAATGACATGTTAGCATGTGGCTGTGAGAATATGTGCAACTATATTACAAGATGTTCTTCATGTAAGTGTTTCATGTAGGTCTCTCAGTACTTCCTTAAATAACTGATTTAAATGGACACCATGTACTGAATCAATTATTTATTTAGTGTTACTCTAAAGAGTAACACTTTTAAGATTTCACCAAAAATAAGGGCCAAAGAGAATAATTCAATCTCTAAAGAGAAACACTGCATAACTGGTTTTAAGTTCAAAAGCATACAAAAACATCTTACGCAGCACTACAATGTGATATAAGTTACAGCCTTAAACATCAGCCATGGATTGAAATGCTGTGCGATTATCTAGCACTTAAAGCAGGGCTGCATGGGGGTGTGTTTCAGTATCTCAAGGCCAGCACTTTATCCTCACACAGATGCACAATTACCTGTTACGCAAGCAAATGAACAGTTAGTTCCATGAGCTCCGTCTTTCCCCATGCTATCAAAAATGTTTCAGAAGAGAAATGCAGCGCTTAAAGGGACTTGTAACAGATATGCCTAATAATTTCATCATACAAGCGAGACCAGACCATTTTTCACAGTGGATATAAGAGCAGATTTAATTTGCCCATGTAATGCAGTTAAGCACCAATCTGCATGTGGAAGAGGTTTTAGTGCACATCAAGTGTGTTGGTTAATTTCATTATTTTTTTTTTTTTTTTTTTTTAATATCGACAATGTTAAAACTTGTCACAGTCAAGGAGCGTGCATGAACCAAATATTTACACAAAATGTCATTTAAAGAACAATCTCTCCTCCGTCCGTGCTTCCTGGACCACAAATATAACTGTCTCACTCTAAATCTTGACGGTGACGTCTGTAAGGACAGTGATACTAACCTCTTCTATTCATTTAGAAAGAGATAAACAACTGGCTGAACATCCTGTCACACTTCTCCCAGCGTCCTGTCCCAGCTCGCTCTTCTGGTACTTTCTGTCTGCAGTATCTGTAACACCAACAAAGGAGACACAAAACATGAAAAGTCACTATTGTTTCTCAAAGGTGAACTCATATTTTTTTATTTTGCGTGCATGATGTACGCTGTATGTGTAGGTGTGTAAAAGATAAATACTCCACAAAAAACATCTCTTTTACATGTTAAACGCAAGCTGACAGATTTCATGGGATGTACTGCTTTTTTTAATATAACTGAATTGCTTTTATTTGAACTGAGCTCTTCACTCAATTCTAATAATTTGTCATTAATGTAGCCACAAAAAACCCCACAGCCTCATAAGCAGACCTTGTTACTCAAACATTTTTTTGAAATTCATTTCCCAAAACCTGTTATTGCTATTGAGGGTCACATGAAAGCACAAAATGCACCAAGTGAAATGCACTAGGCAGCTGTTGGTTACAAGCCCACTTCAGACAGGTAAAAATACTCACATGTGAATGGGAAAGGTTCAGTTAGCATTAGCTGATAGTAAAGAAGAATGAATTCCTCCTGTGCACTGGTTTAAGCAGGCTCTACATCGCTCAAATGAAATCCTTTAACTGGCTAAACGCTTCCTGGGGTAAATTATGACTGATTGCTCCTAAGCAGCTTTTCAATACCACCTTTTCACAGAGCAGCAAAATTAGCCAGTGTATCTTTTTTTTTTTCCCCTCAATGTGGCAAATTATAACTAAATCAATGCTACGAACACAGATGCACAATAAATTACGATAAGAAAACCGATGCATATTTGTAAATGCAGCTATTGCAGGGTCACTAATGTACGCCAATCTATCAGTCCAAATATGCAGTTACATGGATACTTCACTCTGCAATTAATCTTACTAGTTTATTTCTAGCTGCTGCAGTGGCAAGCTATTAAATTAAAGAAGGTACTAAATCGCTACGTCAAAGAGAATATATTGATCTTTTTTATGAAAAGTGCTTATTGACAGAGCAATTAAATTAGATATCGAAGAAATTAAACCAGCAGAGCTTCATTCTGTCAGTGCACGGCCAACTGCAATGTGACAGACGCAGAACGACAAAGCCACTAACAATTTGAAACTGGCAAATCAACAATAATTACAATATTTTAAAATATAATGGTATCCAGTTACACAAGAGTAAAATTGTCCCAGTGATGTTGAGGTATCTACGTAGATCCTTCTAGATCACTCAGTCAGGAACATTTTAAGCAAAACTATCTGATGGCTACCACTCCCTCAAACTAGTAGCAAGTATATTTTTGTTTTTTTCCTCTTTAGCTTTCGTCGTCGAGTATGCTGATGACCTGTGTTGCCACAATTCTGTCTATTCATGCTACAGCTGGTCTATAACAAGTTGCCATAAAAGATGTATCCTGGCTAAGAAACAAAAGAAAATACGTTAATGAAGTATTTCAATGACACTCTTGATTCTTTAAAGGAGGACAGGACATGCGTGTTTGTGGCCTTTTATTTGAAAGAAAGCATACTGCTACCAAGCCTGAGTGAAAAGGAGACAGAAATGTCAGCAGTCTTAATCAATATTCTCTGGCTATTTTATGAGGATACTGATGTTTTTAGAGGCAGGTGTGCTGCAGGCAGATGGTAAGAAATGAGAGTAAACATCAGCCTGGAGCAGCCCATTTTTCCCAGAGCGAATCCTGCAACAGCCATGCCAGCATTTCATTCTACACACCTCTCTCTGAACATCTGGATAAAGTGTTGCTTTGCTTGAATAAGCATCTTTGTAGCTGGCCTAGTGCACATGCACTGTAACCCACACGGACAACCGCACACACGCGCTTGTACTAAATGCTTCAAGATGACTGTGAAGGTGCCATTATGTTTCCCAATCTCTTCTCCTCAACCCTTCTGTCCAAAGTGGATAACCAGTTTCTTAAAAAATAAAAAATAAAACAAACCCACAAACAAACACGTATCAAGCATCAAATGGAACCAAAAGCACAGTGTAAACTTGAGCTCAGAGGTGCTTTTAGTGGTGTTTTGAGAGTGTATAAACCTTATCTGTCCTTCTCAGATGGTTTATGATTGTGGCAAAAAAGGCTTGGCTGGAGGAAAAAAAATCCACGTATATCAGATGAAATTAATTAAAACATAATATGAAGGATACTGAGCTTCAAGGAAAATGATCTGTTGCACTGCATCAACAGTAAAGGTCATGTATTTAACAACTGAGTGAGGTGACTACTACACTGAGAGATTAAATACTCTAGATCTGTCTGTTTGGGCTCAGGGGGTGATTGAATACTAACACTAGTGACCGATTTCCTAGGGGAAATCCTGTGTATGCACAGATCTTATAAAATAGGCTTTGAAGGACTTGATGAATGAGTTTATACTGTGTAAGAGAACAGACTGAAGGAGGGACAGATATTTTTCAAGAAACACCAATATTTGAAATTCTAAGAAGTTAAACGCTCAATCAGTATGAGTTCTAAAAATATATATAATCTCTTAAGGATGTGTAATCAAGAGCAGAGGAAGCTGAGCAGCACTCCAACTCCTCTTTAAGGCGGTTTAGCATGTCCCAGCTTTGCTCTGTGCTGACACCGTTTTAACAGCCTTTACATACTGACCCATTCAATCGACCTCTCCTAAGCAAGGGGCTGACACCTTGCATATGAATCACGGACATCAACTTTATGGCTGTCTCCTGTGAATACATTTTGAACATTAGCCTGAGGATATTTCTTTTATGATAGTTTGACTGAGAATGATATTGGGCCATTAATTACTCAAGTCGCTACTCATTTGCTGGCGCCACCACACATGCAGCCATCTATCATGACTTGTGAGGGTGAAAAAGAAAAAAAAGAAAGAGAGAGAGATGGAGACCCATCTGTTGGGCATTCATAAATACATTCATTTTCTTTGGGGAGTCAATGGCTGGCCAAACATTGAATGATCGCACCACGGATGCCACCATGGAGCCAGCTATCATTGACCATCTGATGCCCAGAGCAATTTCCAAGAATTCTGCGTCTGCAAAGTGAAGCGCTCAATTAGCTGAGATTTCTGCTTGCAGAGCTGGAGAGCGAACTGATTAAACGCGATTGCTTATCATACAAATAATCTACTCCATTCTGCCCACATATACACACAACTCTGAAGTATTCTGACGCACAGTTAAAAAAATAAATAAATAAATAAAATCAATATGAGCTGGTGCCAAGGTCACTGGATAAAAATAGTCTGCATAGTATAATCTAAATGAATTGCTTGGGAGACGAATCTATATCCCAAAAATAAATAATAGTCTGAACCACTCTGCAATACTGCAGATGATTTAATCTCTGGTTGGACCGGAGTCAAAAGCTTCTCTTTTCAGGCAAATTTACACAATAACCTGTTATATACAAAACACTCCTTGAAAAGATAACTGAGAAAAATAGGACTGTGTACATCCTTATATGGTCTGCTATAACAGAAGAGAATGATTTTACTTGTAGCTGCTGTGAAAATTGAAAAATGAATAAATAAATGAATGAATAACTAAATCTGCATAGAGCAAACCTCAACAAAAAAAAAGACAAAAATCGTTACTTTTAGGGCTTTTCTATACAATCCTGGAGGCCCATGCTAGCCACCGAGTTAGCTGCATTCTCCCAAAGCACCAGTCCCATGCCAACCTCTCCCAACTCTCAAAACATTAGGGTAATTTTCATACTGGATTTAGCAAACAAAGAGGGTTTCAGAAGGCCTTCGTCACATGCTGAGAGATGCGTTGTGGTTGTCACAAGTGTTTAGGGATATAGATAGTAAAATGTGGTGTTATTTAGTGCTGCTTTGCATATATTTATGGGCTGTGTCACTCCCTTTTTTGTGCTTGTAAAGAAATGCAGCTTTGTTGCACCAGCTTATTCCCAGATTGGGTGCAGCTGTTCTCCACTGTTTGCTCTCTCCCTTTTCTCATGCAGAAACAATTTTCCATTTGTGAATCCCCCCCCCTAAAAAAACTCCATACTTCTAGATTTCCCTTGGAGCATCTTGAGGTACTTACCCTTTAAATACACCTACACTCTGAGATGCTTTTTGCATTCAGTCGTGGGAATGTCAGTGTCAGAGTGACACAGTTAAAGGTTGAGGCAACAAGAACTTGCAGGCTCTGGGGAGGCAGGTGGAGTCACTGCGCAAGCCATACAAAACAGATACTTGGAAAACTCTGTGAGAGCCACTCCTGATTTGCGTTCCAACTCTAAACTGAAGAAAACAGGATGAGAGGATAAGTCTCAGAGTGGGAGGCAGCAAAAAGCAAGCTTGCATTAGGAAGCCAAGATGAAAGTAAATAAGAGTTGGGAAGTTTTTAGAAGCACAGCAAATACCCTGGCTGCCTGTCAGGACTGTAGTGAACCCCGTTTTTCATGCTAGCAGGCAAACGCTGCTTACAGTAAGAGCGGACCATTAGATGCCAGCGATATGTTAGGGAATGAGAGAGTAAACATACACAAACAACGTTAAGCAGCAGCAATTAACACAACTCAAGTCTTCATTATCTCAGTATCTAGCACAACTGAACTGTTATGGTGTCCACGAGAGGTCACTGCAGATAGTGCTGCTCACTTAGAATCAACATATTCAGATTTATCTTGATTTGGGGGAAAAATGAGCAAGATTGCAGCTAACAACACCTTCCAGTTATTAAATAATTCAGGTCTAAATAGAGGGAGAGATGACAGACAGATGCACCTACAATGCCACAGCGAACAGCCATAGTTAGCATGCAGGCTGTAGTTGTAGGATGGCAAAGCTCTTACTCACAGTCTTCAGGTCATTTTACAGACTCTTTGTAGATTTCTGAGATGTGGTATAAAGACAAATCACATGAGAACATTCCCTTCTGGGCTCTGTACATCTGACGAACAGCTCTGAACTTGTTCGCAGCACAGACACCTCGGTGTGAGCTCTGTAAAAGAGGAGGGCTGTGCCCCAGCTGCCTTTCACATGAAGACAAGACTTGCATCTTCAGAACCTTGTTAGTTCTCTGAAAAGGCCACCGACTAG